AAAAAAAAAAAAAAAAAAATTGTTGTGGTATGAGTACACTGTAGCAGTATGCATCATGCTATTGGTGTGGTAAATGAAAATGTAATTTGCAAAGTACCACAATTAAGGATAAAAATATCATCTCACCGCCCTATCCGTAAAATCCGGCAATCCATCCCTTGTTCCCGCCAAACCCTCTGAACCCCTACTTCCAGCCCAGCTCAGCCCAGCCCAGCCCAGCCCCTGTCCTCTCTCCAAAACCATTAACCGTCCCAGCCTTTCTCTCTCCCCAACCAATTACACACCCCAACTCTCTCTCTCTCCTCCACACCATTTCAAAACCACATTTTCACCCTCTTTCCCTCATACAACTCGTAAGCCCACCACCTCTTCTCTCTTCCCTCCACCACCTCTGTCTCTCCTCCATATCTCCCTCTCTCTCTCACACCATGGGCATGTGCTTCTCTCAAGCCGGCCGTAAGGGCCCGAAACCGGACGCCAATGCGAAAGAACCCCCTTCCGGCCCCAAACCCGACCCCCCCATTGCCACCTCGAAACCAACACCAACCCCCCCACCTTCTAAGCCTCCCCCTATCGGCCCTGTGCTCGGCCGGCCCATGGAAGACGTACGCGCCACTTACATCATGGGCAAGGAACTCGGCCGGGGCCAATTCGGCATCACCCACCTCTGCACACATAAGGCAACAGGCCAGCCATTCGCCTGTAAAACCATAGCAAAGAGGAAACTTGTTAACAAGGAAGACATTGAAGATGTGAGGAGAGAGGTTCAAATTATGTACCATTTAACTGGGCAACCAAACATAGTTGAGCTCAAAGGTGCTTTCGAAGACAAGCAATCTGTTCATCTGGTTATGGAGCTTTGTGCCGGAGGCGAGCTGTTCGATAGGATTATCGCGAAGGGGCATTACACGGAGAGGGCAGCGGCAGCGCTGATGAGGACCATTGTGCAGATTGTGCACACCTGCCATTCAATGGGGGTGGTGCACAGGGATTTGAAGCCGGAAAACTTCTTGTTGTTGAGCAAGGACGAGGATGCGCCGCTGAAGGCGACGGATTTCGGGTTGTCGGTGTTCTTCAAGCAGGGTACGTGAGGTTCAGGGGGGGGGGAGGATCCCTCTCTCTCTCTCTCTCTCTCTCTCTCTCTCTCTCTCTCTCTACTACGTACGTACGTACGTACGTACGTACGTACGTACGTACGTACGACGACGACGACGACGACGACGACACGACGACGACGACGTACGTACCGACCGTACCGACCGTACCGACCGTACCGTACCGTACCGTACCGACCGTA